CGACAGTGTGACAGTGACAATGCACAGAAACTGACTCCACTAAATGGAATTCAGACATCATTAATTTCATCATTTACTGAACACAAGCACTTGAGAAAAAGACATACAAAAAGAAAAAGACCTACATGACTTATGAAATGTAATGCTTAAGTAAAACCCTCTTCAGGTTTGGATTTATCTGGTATTAAAAAACAGATGTAACCATGTCCCCCGTTCAACCTCTTGCGGGCCATGCTTTTAATTCAATTCAATCAACTGCAGCTGTTGTTTGTAATGTCTGATTGTCAGCTCATTGCCATCGTACTAAGCTTGTAAAATATTCAAGAGAATCAGAGTGTTGCTCTGTATGTGGGTAAATAATCGTTGATTAATGGACATTAACCTGCCGGTAATCATATAATACAGAACATGGCACGACCTAAATATGTCTTCAGATATAAAAGAAGAATTGGCCTCTTAGGTGATACAGTTTATTGAGCCAGAGGCTGGCTCCCTGCGCTAAAGCTCACTGTTAAATTACTCACAATAAAATCTGATTCAGTTTGTACACAAAGCCAAAACATTATGCAACAGATGCAAAAGCTAAAAACCATATTAGCCTCAGACAGAAAGTCAAATATTGGCAATAATCTAACATGATTGGTTCAGGGTGTGGGTCAGTTGACTGGGGGCTTACTGGACTGAAATAAATGAATACTTGTTGGGGAATATGAGTCGACACAAGATATGAGAAGCTTTATGATTTTCCCAATTAGTTTCTATTTAAGGTTAGAATCGTGGCTTTGTGGAATACAAAAAAGAGGTCATAGTGGTTGAGAGTTTGTCCCACTTGCCACCAGCGAGAACAGGAAGTGAGAATATGGAGGACGGTAATGACCCTGATTACTAACTTCTCACTTTGATTAGTTTGTCTTTGTGAACTTACGACAAGTCTTAGGGCATGTCCCTATAAATAGACGTCGCATATTCAAGGTTGTGGGTCCAGACAATGTTAAGGTGACTTGGACAGTACTGTTCAAGTGTTTATTTTTTTAAAATTTTAAATCTAAAGTAGGTTACAAATGAAAAAGTGAGACAAGCGTGTAACTTGTGGTAAATCTATTTTAATGTTCATGGCATAAGGGGCAGAGAAGATAATGTTAAAATGTCCTCAAACATAAACTCTCAGATGTTTTTATCCTAATTAGAAGCACTGCTAAAGATGGTTTGGACCAGGTTGTTGAATACAATAAAGACTCCAACAAGAACCTGACAATTACATTTCTGGCAATCTGGGAAATCTGACAAACAGCACACAAAATTAGCTCAAAAGAAGCAAAATTATCTTTGCCACAGTACTGTTGACATCAGCTGATAGAATAGAGTCGCAAAAACCATGAATCCTGCATCGACACAATAACAAGCTTAAATCAACCATCAAATTCTGATAAAAACCTGATATGTCCCCATTTACAGCAATGTTTGCCATTAGTCACTTTTTTGTCAAGTATTTATACATATTCTTATTTGGCCCTTTGAAATTAGAAGCTATTCACATGAATGAAAGATCATGATCGCATAAGTACAAATGATACCAACGCAATTTAAGAAACGAGATGAATCTTATTTTAAATCTTCTTTTCTTCTTTCACTATAGGATCACAATGATGAATATTTCTACCATCTTAGCTATTAGCAACCCAGTCTAGAAATGCCTTCTCTTTGATTAAAAGTTAGAAATGTCAGTTGCTAATGAACCCACAAACAACAAATGTTTTTCAGTGATAATTAATTCAATCATTTATTATAAGAAAACTTGAAAATCCACTAGCACAAAGGGAAACTTTTATCTTTGAATGTATGTATAATGAAGTTCAGTGTAAGTTCAATCAAGATGACTATCTTTATGCCTCATGCATTCACAATTCTGCTTTTTTACTCTCACAATAAGTATTTACTCTTTCAGTTAAACTTACCAGATTCTGCCACGCTCTCCATCAGCCATGTTGATGTCAGCCATTGTCTTCATCCCTCCAACACTGGTGTGTAGACTCCCCAAAATGTGATCACATCACAATGAGGTCTAAATGCCAAAAAACGTTCACATTTCTCATTGTTATTGTGCACATGTCAATAAAATATTTGTTCTCTCAGAATGAAGTTGCTCCTCATTGAAATATACTGCACAGTATATTTGGCCTTCTGGGAAACCATTTTCTACACTATCTTGTAGTGAATTATTACATTATTTTACTTTGAAAGTAGGTTATGCTTCAGTGATGATGAGCGTTACAAAGAAAAACACAGACTGGATCGATACAAATAGGTTTCATGGTACATCAGCTACTGTATGTGTGATACTCTGATATGAGTTTAAGTCAGGCAACTCAAGGATCACACCATCCTTCAGCCTCCTTCCCCCCAGAAACAAGCTCTTCTAAGGTAAAACTGAAATCTGGAGCCCTTAATTGCATTTATAGTTTCATCATGAGACAAATATTTTGGGAATAGCAACATGAATGTGGTCATTACAACAATAAAAAAATCTTGTCTTACTGTCACTCTACAGTATATCAAAACTAACATTGTCTACACTAATTGATGTGTTTTGACTGATGCAAATGAATAGATTCTTTTCAAAATAATGAGTGAATAATTAGTCATAATTAAGTATGCTAACAAGCACTGATTTATTAACTGATTTCTCCATACCGGCTTCGTCAGTGTTCACTGCATGCCAGGCTTTGTTTTAATGAGACTGTCTGTCCCAATCAGTGTCAAACCATTCCTGTAAAGAAAAAAGTCAATTATGAAACTTTCACTGTGCCATGCTCTATTGGCGCCATTTCTATCCTCTAAGTCTGCCTATAGTGGTATAATAAAGCAGTAAGAGGGGACGGTCTTTACAGTGACTAAGTCCAAGGGTGATGCAAATTAGTAGTAGTACTTCACTTAAGTGCTCTCCATTAGAAAGAAGCATGGTCAGTTTTTCATGAACAGTAGTTAAGTTTGCATGTGTGCCAAGATTTTTAAGTACAAGTAACACAATCTATGACATATAGCTGCCTGGTTACCGGTGCCACACTTGGAGTTATCAACACTACAGTTATGTAAAGAAAATAAAAATAGAAATAAATCATGTGAAGTCAGGGAAAACTTTGATCTATGGAGCACAATAAATGCCCTGCATGATTTGTGAAGGCATACATCATTTAACCAATAGTGAGAGAGGCTTTCTGCTGAAAGGGATGGTGACAATGAGCCAATTATACGCCACCCACAAGTACAAGCACATGTGAAAATGAAATAATGACATGGCAGGTTAACATGAGGACATGATGAACCCTGAGGGCATTATCTATGTTTTCTATGGAAAGAAGTTGGAAAGAAACTAATTCACAATACTGTGGCTGTGAAACTGGTGCAAGCATCCAAAGGAAGTCAAAATGAACTCTCTCAGATTAATTATATTTTGAAAAGTTGACTCCATCTGGATAGAAAAAAATCAATTTGCACCTTTTGACCTATGTTTGTTATATATTTCCATATGTGTCCTAAAGATCTGTTTTACACGACCAGCGAGGGGCTGAGAACGGATAACCAACTGATGGAAGTGGCTGGCTATGGAAGATTTGGCCTCCAAACTACTGGTATTCCTTTTTCCTATATGCACTGTCACCAGTCACTAGCTTAGCTTGTGCTCAGTACAACGAGCACAAACACAAAATCCATGAAAATGGGGACAGTGATATACAGCCTACTTTGTCGTGCCGTTTGTTCAAGAACAATAAAACTCACTATGGTCATAGATGTGACTGGACAGATATCTTTTGGTGTCTTTTGTTCTATATCCATAAATAACTGAGACCACCTTGTGTTTGAAGTCAGATACATGCAAAACATGTTAATAAGCTGTAAGCCATACAGTTGTACTTCCGGATGTGGTCTCCCTCAGAAGCTAATTAAAAAGACATCTTTTTGATCTCATAATAGCCCTGCTGCCAGGGTAAACAAAGAAAGTGACAATGACACAATAATGGATTTTTGCATTTCAAGAGAAGATACAACTTTAATACAGGTCTATTTTTAACTGATTTGTAGCAACATCTTTCGGTATGCTGTTTATTAAAACATCCCATCTCACACTCGAACACTATAGTGGGAAACTATTGCAGTGTTTCTGAGTAGTCCAGAGATTTGAAATAAAACATTTACTATCAAAATTTTAAAAAATAAAAGCCCTTCTACAGGACTAAACCGCTTCTATCTGTCTGCTACCTGTCTTGACAGGAAGATAAAACTTTGTGATCAAAACTGGCAAAATAAAATGAAATAAAAATAACCTGCAATAAAAATGTATAGTCAGGCTGAATTAAAAAAAGAAAATCATGGTCATCTTTCACATTTTGTCTGTATTTATTCATATGAACAGAAGTTCTACTGCTTTATATTGAACACTTATTACACTTTATAATAACACTCCACATATTAATGGTCCCATGTTGCTAGAACTTCTTCAAAATGGGATGTAGATGAGATTTTTCTCACACCATTAAGATGCAGGGAAATATAATTCCAGAATTTAATGGATGTCGGACAGAACATATTGAATAGGTGTGTGCCTCAGCAAACCCAGACGGACAACAAAACGTTTCAGTAGATGAACTGAAAGAAAACACAACTTAAATTCATGGCTGCGAGGTGAATGATTTAAAAAAAGCGCCAAGAAACTTACAGAACTTTGGCAAAAGGCAGTGTTTGTAACTTACACCATCCATACCACGTTTCATTTAACATGGGCGTGTCCCCTGATTTTACAGCGAATCAGGTAACTAAACGTCACAACACAAATTACGTGGAATAGTTCCACCTTGTCCGGCCCGTAGATCTAAACCTGGACTCCTATTGGTTAACGCAACATTCTGGTTCGAACCGTCATCGGTTGCTGCAGCAGCGTCCGGTAACCATGGAGACATGTCCTGTGTTAGCTGGTGTCAGTACACATTAGCTTGTTTTAAAGATAAGATAGTTTGCTTTTTTCAGTGAAGTGAACTTTGAAACGCAATGGGGTAACGTACAGATAGCCGAAACATTTTTTATCCGGCTAAACACGCACCTCAAAATAATTTCTACCAACGTCACGTCACGTAAAATGTTCAGGAATAATTATCAGGTAACCTAGAAAGGCCTTGTGCTTTTGTAAACAAGGCTCTTTGTGGGCTAATATGAGCGTTGGCCTGGTATAACATTAACTGCAGGCTAACAGTGAAGCCTATCGCTAATATTAGCCCCGTTTCTTGCTGCAGGGTGGCGCTGTGGTCGAGGTCTTCAGTGGACAGGGTAAAGACCCTGCAGCCAAGTGGAAACTCTGCGGAGGGCCGTCAGCCATACACAAGGTGAGTTTTCAGAGTTGCTGGTTTACCTCAGCCCTTTGTTTGTACACAAGCTGAAGTCAAGCTACCACACAGGCCCGAATAAACAAATACAGTCCAATAACATGCAGTGTACAACGAGGTCTGAATGGTTACCCACAGAGATGAATTAACCCATAATGAAACAGTGTATCAACAACTGAACTTGAGGTACACTTCCCATGGGTGTCATCCTGGGCAGGTTACCAGCCTTATAGAAGACGAATAGACCTGGAAATCTGGGATTCCAGTACAGTATCCAAACTGTAGGAGAGATTAGTTAGACAATACAAACTTGCATTATGATTGAATTGCATTTATTCGGTCATTTTATTTAGTAGATGCCCAGGAACGCTGCTGATCTAACAGCACATTTTCCCCCCTGCTTCCAGACAATGGCTTTTTTTTTTTTCATAATAGATGTGTTCTTGACACTTTCCATCTCCAACCTCATGCTCGTATTTGCAGTCTCTACTGTTACACTACACAATGCAGGTCATACTGCAAGGTCTTTCTCTTAGCAAAGCCTCTTCTGTGTTATTTCTTCCCATAGGAGTATAATAAAGAAGTGAAAGGATTTGTTTACTGTCTGGAGGGTAGCAGCCAGACTGTCAAGATGCAAATGCCAGAGAATGGGAAAATATCTCGTAAGTCACATACTTGCACCCATTTGTGAATTATTACAATATTTTGTTATGCTCACATGTTAATAGTAATTCACTTCTTTTTCTGTTTTTTTTGTAGTTGGGCTTCTCCAAAGATTTTTGGTCCTTCAAGTGAATATTCCTCAGTGCAAAGATTTCTCCATTGAGCTTGCGTAAGCACAGCAGTCACATTTTCTTTACTCAACCTTGAACATTTGTGAGAGCTGTTGTAGATACCAAGAAATCTTTAACTCTGCAGTTGATTAAGGAGTTTTGTTACTGTTATTGTGGCACAATATGGTAGCCACAGTAGTCTTTAATAATGTAAATTATACTTAAAATTATAATGGCCAGTTTGTCCCAGACCACAGAACAAATGAATAAAAGACAGCTTGTATACATCTAGTAGGAAAACCCCGCGAGCCAACTGAAAAATGTGGTGCATCATATTAGCAACAACTGTTATGTAATTGCTTAAATAACCATTTGTGATTAAAATGTTGTTAAACTACTCACTACAAAAGAAAAGAGGTTCTTATTTTCCCAGCCACAGTAAATTCTACAAGGTTATATTCAAAGGAATAAGCACATTTGTAAAACATAGCATAATGTTTTGCCTACATTTAGTCACCAAACAACTCTTCTTGCGTCAATTCACTTCAAGGTCAAATTAAATTTAACACGCTGTGGTATACAGTGTAGATGCTGCTATTGTCATGGGAACAATAATATAAATAAATTTACTTACCTACTTCTGGGGAAATACTGTTGGTGATGTTCTTCTTCCATTAGAGTGAGTTGTGACAGCTGACTTCACAGCACTAGAATAAAGTAAAAACACCTTTGAGAGCTTACCTAAGAGACCAATAAAGGTTGTGGCTTTCTCTGGTCAGGACTTCTTAGTGACATCGTCGATGCTGGTGATAATTTATGTTCTGTTCTATTGTCTCTTATTCACAGGATAACTGATTCAGAGCACCTGAAAAGAAGACTTCATCTATCAACAGTGCATAAAGAATTGTCTGCCACACTTTTGCATGCAAAGATTCCTTTTGTAGGCCTGCAACGCAATATTGTGAGTCTCTAACTCATCCTTGACATGTTATTTCAGTATTTGCTTTCAGTTATGTGCTTTTTTATCGGTGGTTTTTATAGCTTATTGAGCTGTTTGTCTCCTTCTAACTACAAAATCACATTGTTTCTCTTCTCTGTCTCAGTGGTTAACTTTGTGCATCGACCTTGTATCATTCACCGATGAACTGTTCAAGGGATTTTTGACACTGGATGGCATCACTTTGTTCGCTACCTGTAAAGTCCGCAGAATATTCACCATGAAAACAGAGCCTACAGCAATGTCAGATAATGGTAATGAAGTTGGTTACACCTAAATGATTAATGTCAAGTGAAAATTTCATCAGCTTCTCTAAAGTCCCACTCTCCTTGAGTTATTATTAAAACATACAACAGCTAAGCACTTAGCATTGAAGCAAGTCAGTGGTTTTCACTTTGAGTTGATTTCTTGTGAGTCTTGTAAGTTTATATGATATTGTGTGTGTATGTGTGTGTGGAGAGACAGAGAGAGACAGAGAGAGAGAAACAGTTGGCTGTTCTCTGTGGTTGTTGGCTTTGAGCTCAGTGTTGATTTTTGTTTAACTCAAATATGGCTCTTCAGTGCCAACAGCTGCACTCAGTGATGGCTACTTAGTGCACACCTACACTACTTGCCAGTCAAGACAGCACCTCATGTTGTATTTTCCTGCTGATCCAAATGTTACTTTTGTTGTGTTCATGATAACGTGTTTTGGTTTATTCTATGGTCAGGATCTGACATTGCTCTTCTTTTAATATAGATATGTTTCTCGGTGGAGCTGGTCTCATGGACCTAATCCCTCGCAGTTGCCAATTCCCACCAGATGTCAACCATGTCACTCAAGTGCTGAACATGGAGAATTTGCAGAAGGCAGATATGAGGGCTGCACTGTTGAGCTCTGACTGTGGTAGGTAAGAGCAAATCGTAGGATTGTGAATTTATCAATTAACAGTTGTGGAGAGTAACTAAGTACATTTACTCAAACACTGTTCTTGACTACAATTTTGAGTTACTTGAGTATTTCCATTTTATGCTACTTCATAATTCTGCTCCACTACATTTTGGACTATTACTATAACTTATTACTTTTCTGATTCATTAATACAAAACGTGATCGGCTAATAAATGATGCTGTAATATTATAGATGAATGTAGTACCTTAACTCACTATATAAGAAAGAATCTTTCCACACTGTTCTTTCTATTTCTGCTTTTAAGTAAAAGATCTAAGCACTCCTCCCACCACTGTCAATAAATAACTCTACCAGTGGAACTCAGATTACCCAAAGACATGAAACTTTTGGGAACAAAGCAAACAACTTGCATTATATTGCCAAAAGTGGATTCCTGATTTGAGCTAGGCCCCATAGTTCTAGTTAAGGGGAATCTTAATGCTGCAGCATACAATGATATTTAAGACAAAATACTGCGGGAACAGTGTGGGGAAGGCCCTCTTATGTTTTATATGACAATGCCCTCACACCCAAAGCCAGGTCATGAAATGGTAAAGAAAATCCAAGTTTTGCACAAACTCTGTGTTTTTCTTCTGTAATGCATCACAGCAGATACATAGTTCACTTATAAAAGGTGTCCTGCAGATACAAGTGTGTACATTCACTACACAAGATAATCTACCAATGAAACAGTTAATATACATAGAGAAATTGCTTTTTATGAAGAGACTGTGATGATAATCGTTTTGTTTTCCTCGTGTGAAATTCCTGTGGTCCTCATTTTTGTGTTCATTTGCACCTCACCTGTTCTCAGAGAGCCGCAATTATCTCCTCATATAAAAAGACATGCACCAGTAATCCAGTTCTGCCGCCTCTGTGGCCTTTTTTATCAGCGCTTATTTATTTGTTCTGACAGCTGTCTAAGTCATGTTGAGTCAACCGGCAATGCCCATAGAAGAGAGCAGTAACCACACACAAGAAATAGCTTTTCATAATTAGCATCTGCATTATTAGCATAACATTCCTAATCATAATTAAAACGATTGCTATTAAAGTAGGCATACAATTTAATTGTGACAAAGTTGCTTGGTGAATATTGTTGCTTCAGTACCCAATCTGTCAGAAACTGTTAAAAGTAAGCTACAGCAGCAAACAAACAGTGATTATCTCATACACCAAAGACAAGGTCAATACATTTTCGCACGTCAAAATGACTGCTCAAAATATATATTTTTTCTCTATCAACATGTCTAATTTTCTTCCTTATTTTTGGCACATTCTTTAATGGGCTTTTATTTTTATGGGCAGATAGAAATTTAAAGCACATAGAAATGCACTCACTCTTAAAACCTGGGTCATTTTCTGAGTGTTGAATCTGCTGCATCAGAAGACCCAGACCCAGACTGTAAATCCAACTCAGCTCTGTCTATATCTTTATGATCCTGTGTGTTTTGTGGAATGGAAGTATCTGCTCTCTGCTCAGATGAGGATCAGAGAGAAAGTGTGTTTTTGCTGTTATCATCAGCGGAGGTGGCCCTAATGAGCCCTGACACAGATACAGCAGCAGGGTCAGGTTGTGGCCCTGTCACGACTCCCACTACAGCCCATTATTTTTACATTATGGTATGAAACTGATTGATTTATTAAAGAAAAATATCAGCTCAACTCAATCAGTTTATCAGTAGAGTCTAAGTTATATTCAACCACCATAGTCTTGAATTCAAAGTAGCACTGTTACAGCCTCCAGAATTATGTGGAAAATGTCAGTTCATCTGAAATGACTCAAGCATTGGTTATGTTTGCAATGTAGTGTAACACATGTCAAAACATACTCCAGTGTATAAAAACAGGAAAGTTTGACTTTGAAAGGGTTTTATTGCTACTGTGAAAGTGGCTTCTCACTGATGTCAAAAATACTGGCCATTTCTGAACTATGTGTCTAAATGTGAAGCATACCCTTTGGAAGTTTCAGTGGCTACTCATTAACATGGATGACCATAGATGTGCAACCCTACTTGGCAGATTGTTGAGATCCAGTGATTTAGTAATGTCCTATAAATCAAATATAGTCTTATTTTTTAATTAGAAGATGTATCAGCATACGATGTAAGAAAATTCCTAAAGGAAAATATTATGCAAAAAAGAATCAGTAATTTTTCAGTGAATAATGGGGATTTCTTTGCAGTTCCTGATCAGTCTGCCACTGCCAGATCAACCAGTTACCGAAGAACAAGGCCCCAGGGTGTTGTACACACAGCCTCTGGCTCCAGGGTAACAGGACCACCTCCTCAAACTGGAAGAAAAATCAGTGCAGCCTCAGACGGAATGGATAGAAGTGTTCTCTTTATCTCAAATACGGTAACCGCATGAATCCTATAATAATAACAAATCCTTCTGAATTGTGTCAAATATTATAAATGTAAATACAAAATATTTTTTTCTTCCTTTGTTGTGCCCAGCAGGGATCCCCGTCCAGTAGAATGAACCAAAAAGCCCCTGCAGAAAGCCGGAGCATTGCCAACCTGAGTGAGAACTTATCAAACGGAGAACCTACCCACATTCTTCTTGAGGGTACATTTGAATAAAAGTTCACTGTTGTTTTATCAAGCCTGTATGCTTTCTGCATCTAAACATTTCCTGGGCGTCCAGCTATTCATTTGTTTGTTTCTTTCTATACTGACTTAGCTACCTCACAAGTTTATTTACCACTTTTCACCCCCCATCTGGCTATATACTGCGTATTTTGGTAAAAAGAACTGCACAAATTGTTGTTTGTGGTGCATGGACTTACCATGACAACCACATTCTGGCCAAATATGGTGGCTGCTACTCTTCCTGGAACCTTCCTGGAACCTAATGGACTTAAGAGTCTAAGTTGTAATGTGGACCCAGAAGCAAGACCCAGAAGTAGAGCAGTTAGGTTAAAAGGCAGTTTATTTTGTCTTTGTTCAAAAGCAGGATCATTAAAAGGTAAGCAAGGAGAGTAGGCAAACAACACCAAAGTGGGAGCTGCTAGAGACAGCATATATAAGGCACATAATACAGTTTAGCAAAGAGAGTCAGCTGGTGGACCAGTATATATACTACGTGACAGATGGGTGGGAATAGGGAGCAGAAAATGAGGCTAAACACAGGACAGAAAATATAGCTGACAAGATTTGAGAAATTTTTCAGAGAACTACAGTTGAGCTACAAAATGATTTTTAAAAGAAGATTGCCTATTTCTGCTCAGTAGAAATAATTTATTAAATAACAATGTGAATCACCACTGCCCACACCCTTATTAGTTCATAATGCAGTGGAGCCCCCGAACATGTTGTGTTTTAAGTGCAGAGCTTGAATGCCACTTTTTCATTTTAAGCAAATCAAGAGTAGAGTCAGGTTTGTTTCATCTTGCTGTTGTTGGTATGCAGTGAAAATCACAATCTCATCTTTATCTTACTTATTAAACATAAATACTACACTGATATAATAACAAGGTAAATTGTTGGACTTATTGTGTCTAAATATCTAATGTCATGGATGAAATTGATAGATAAAAATCACCCAGCTTCTTGTTTTTTTCTAGCATGTGAATATCCTTTTCAAAGGCTTTCAGCTGTGTGACTTAAAGCGTACTGCCTGCTGTAAAAGCCAACACCGTATTCCTCTCATTACATGCTTCTTGACCTTAAGAATACACACAATTATAAGAAAAATGAAAGCATTACATATGAACCAACGAAACAAGAGTCCAGCTGTATGTTATTCCATGCACCTAATAACAGCTTTCACAGTTGGCAATACACTATCCTTTGAGCATGACTGAATGCAAAAATGGATGATTAAAAATCCTTAATTCAGCTGAATATAATGTAGCTGGATGTATTATTCGCTGTGCACTGAATGAATGTAAGAAGCTCAGTTACTAAAATTCCTTCATTAATAGGGATTTTCACGGTGCATAAGCAGTTCATCATGTTGCTAGAAAGCTTCACATAAGCTTCACTTAACATTGTTGTTTAACTGTTTTGTGTTAAAAAGCTTGTATAATGTTGAAAGTTCTGTATATAGGAACATCTGGCAGTGTACAGCCCCATCCCCCAAAAGACAGAGTGTTTGACAAGGTGGGATCTCAGAAGCTACGGGTCTTCAGTGCTGGAAGAGAGAGGTTAGCATCGTCAGGTAAGCTGTGTGCTCTTCGTCTTGCATTCTGTGTGTATGTGGGAATATAGAGTATGGTGTGGTGAATGTGTGGTTTACTATGCTATGGTGTTTAATTCTGCTCAACAGCCCCCTCAAATGCTGTCCCTGGTGGCCACCGAAAGAGAAGTAAAACAAGGGAAGAGGGCACTCCTCCCTCCAGTAGGCAAGACAGCAGGCAACAACGCCTGACCCTAACAGAAAAGACACAGCACCTAACAGCAGGTGATGTTCAAATCTGCTGTGAATAGGCCAGAAGCAGGACAGCAGGAAGACGTGCACTTCCAGACCGAGCAATAGTTAGATAAGTGTAGAAAGACAGCGAGGGATAGGACAAAAGAGAATAATATGCATGTTGAGTGATATTGATGTCTACTTTGCATGTTCTCATTTTACCAAGTAGCTCCTTTCTACTTGAGAAAGTACCTATTCCTACTCTTAATTTATGAATTAGATCACTTCAAAATATTGCATGAATTTTAATGAGGCTCATTCTATGCAGAATACACCATGGCTTTTGTTCGTCTTTTTAAATTTTGCATAACCCACGTCAAGGCCATTTGCAGGATTTTTACTGGAGTACATACCCCGAACTCCAACCCACCAAATCTTCCCCACCTTCACGCACACACCTACACCAGCATTGTCCTCACAAAATGAGTGTGCGTGCTCAGAAAGCTCATTTGTGGATGTTTCTCCACAGCAATAAGCTCCTTTGCTGCAGCCCTGCCCACAGACAGAAAGTAGTCAGTTCATTAATGGTAATGTGGCACATTAAATAAAAGTCAGAGGGACATCTCCCGGGCCCAGGGTATGCCACACAGTGGGCAATTAGAGAAAGTGATTATACTGTCGAGAGGTTCAAATGTGCTCACTCATTCAGATAGAGGTGCCTCTTTCTTTGAGCTCAGGCCTATCGTGGAGTTCAAGGATTCGATGTTTCTTGCATGCACACATGAATAGATTTTCCCCTGCTGGATATATATTCAAGAACATAGTCTCAGGTATTGTAATGCTGCTGAAAGATTTTATCTTTCTAATTTAACAAAAACTGAAAGACTAAAGCAGGACGGGGGCAATATTTGCTTGGAAAATAGATGTCTAAACCAGTTAGATTTTTAAGGATGTTTATATAGAGTTGTCATTTCATGATTGACAATTTTGCAGTAAACTGGTGTTCTACTGATTATGTTGTTTATACTGTTATATTCTCATTATGGTATTAGCATAGCAGGGCTATTAACAAAAGCTACAAAAATGTCAGTGCAGGAGAAATTAATGTTCACGTTTGGCAAGCAATGGAATTCATTACATTTTTGCATATTGTTATTATACATTTTTATGTGCTTATAATAAAATGAACTTGAATGACATTAGCCACATGATGAAAAAATTAAAAAGGGATTTATTACTCACTAATTAGATTTTAATCATTATTCTCTACTCAGTCTTTGTGGTTAAGTCCTCTGTGTGTATTCTGAAAGACTTATTCATGTATTATACAATTTGTACACTCAAAGCCCTGAATTCTTTAATTCATCAATATTCATGTGCAACAATGGATGTTTCAAAGAGAGAATTTAAGTTAAAACCGCCTTGTTTTTGTTTTGTTCTATAATCTTTTATTTTAGATGATAGTAGTCCTGCCAAGGACAGTCCAGGAGCTGCTCCCACACCAGCAGAGTCTCTCTCCTTCTCGATATGCCCAGGTTTGTCTTGTGACCTGCAGGTCTGTAGCAGCTGGGAGAGTAATGAGGGGTCCGAGCCCCAGCTCACTCTGCAAGACGAGGTGTTCATTTTCTTATCCCAGCCACACTCACCCAAACGAGGGCAAGGCCAGGGTGACCAGGAGAAGATGGAGATGGGAAATGATCAGGCTCAGGGTAAAAGTGGAAGGCGATGTGAGGCCCAGCCTGAAGATGACTTCATCGGCAGTGAAAGTGATGAGGTATGTCCGCTCACGTGGAGAGACGCATGCACTTTGAAGGACCAGTGTGTAGGATTTAGTGGCATCTAGCTGCAGAATTTGAACCATTTCGTTCCGTTCTGGACCACTGTACAAACATGGTGGTTAAACAAGACAGCCTCCATGCTAACGAAAACGCAACGATTTGTATTTTCAGGTGATTATTCACTAATGAAAACAATATTATATTTCATTCCTGCCATTAGATCCTCCCAAATGTTACACACCGGACCTTTAAATACACACATATGTGAAGTGCATCTTACAATATGTTGCTTTGACACAAGATGTATTTCTCTAACTCTAATGACCATCTGCCTCAAATAAGCATATTGTTGTTATGTTACATCAGATACACTAATAGTATGGACAAGCAGCAGTTTTCAAAGTATATGATTTGTCCATTTTAGAGATGTATTCTGATGTGCGTTATCTAATCTGATTAATTATTCACACTGTTTGATTTGATTCAGTTTCATTTGATTAAATTTGAATATTTTTTTTTCATTTGATAACATATCTCAAAATGCATTTATTTTATATTTTGGAGTGTATATGTGTCATAATGTACATTTTAACTGTATGTGGTATACTTCAGAGGTCAGTGGGGTTATTTATCATTAGATTATTTATTAATGTCTCTCAGGCTTATAATAAAGAATGGTAGTTTTCTTTATGCTGAGCAGGGAAATTAAACAGTTGAACTATGAGTATAAAGATCATTATCTTCAAAGAAATGCTAATTGCTTTTACTTATTTAAAACTTTATTATAAGTCTGATATTTCAGACGTAGGAATCTCATTTTGTTGCGCAGCTGATTATTTTAACTTTAATATAATATTAATTTTTTTTTTGCCATCAAAGTAATGTATTCTATACACAAATGGCAAACTGGCAATGTAGGTGTCAAGTTTGATGGTATATTTTTGGTGTAACTTACTGATAACATCCTGAGACTGCATTCCTTTTTGATGTGGAAATCAGTTACTGGAAAGTACAGTACATTTCCAGATCAACAATGGAGTCAAGCAGGAGAAAATCTTCTCTAAAATATTAACAGTAAATGTCAAGTTTTGGTATCAGCAACTCAGACTCTCTCTCAGTACTGACTATTTTCCATCAACACTGGTACATGTGCAGATGTGTGCATGTATAGAAGTATGAAGGTGATCTAGTGAGAAAAACATCAATTATTTTTTTATGGTGATCTTTATAAACTGCAGGTATGGTGTTCTTTTTTTATTATTATTATATATTTTGCTTTACGTTTTGGTTTGGAGAATAGTTTTATATCTATATTCACCTCTGTTGCACATACACAGCCTTTTCAATTGCCTTAGCTGCCATTTTATATTGTTTTCACACCAAAAGTAGCTTCTTATCAGCAGTGCCTGGAACTACTTTCTAAAACAAAACAAAACAAAAAAAGAAATAGAGATCAGATAGACAGAGATCAATTTAAGTAGCTACATTTGGCTAGATGTGAAGAAATCACATGACACGCACAAGTTGTGTGTTTAAATGACCATGTAGCCTTCTCAAATACTGATTTCAAGCCTATCAAAACACAAGTAACAAAAACCCACCTACCATAGGAAAGTATTACCCTTGACTATTAGAACATCCTGTGCAGCGAGGTTTCTCTTACTCTGTCTTTCTTTTTTTTCTCAAATGACTTGTACCCTGCTGTCTCAACCAGGGTACCAATTCATCTGAACACTGGACTGTCTGACTGTAGATGTGAGGCAATTATTGGCATGTCTATTACTTGTTTAGATTGGAAACTGGTGTAAATGATATTGGTATGCGCCATATATATATAATAGAGTTTTTTTTTTTTTCTCTCCACCGTCACATGTAAAAACACCACTAAGCGATAAGGCATGCAAAATTAATTACATTTCACAATGAAATAGCACTGAAAGTGTGCCTGAACGGCAGGGTGTTTAAAGAATCACTTCTTCAAATTAACACATTAAAATCTGCCACCACGTTGTATGAACTAGGGTTAGAGGGTGAAGAAAGAAGCATGTAATTTAATTTTGTGAGAGCAGAGTACGCATTCTGATCTAGTGCAGCACTGTATTTTCAAACTACCAGCAGAAAGGGCATTTTTATGTTTTCTGGCTTCCCACTACAACTTATCTGTGAGATGGTCATTTTGGAAGTGACTATCCTTCAGAAGGGGAAAAGAGAGAGCCACACCTGTTTTAAAAAATAAGAAGAAAACACTGTTTTTCTAGAAGGACACAATGGCTGTTTCTTTTCTGTTTCTGTTTGTATATACTACACTCTAACAAGCTAGAGTATGCTGAATTTTTTTTTCTGTGATGGACTTGTGATAGCTGATGGAGCAAGCCTATGTAAGGTGGAGCACAAAGCTGCAAACAGCATATTGCCCTACATGTGCTGGAAACATACTGTGGGACACCTATAGAGTCATTGTAGCATCTTCCCATTCATCTCCAACAACATTAGCTGAGGAAGTTCATTTAAAGGATCCGTGTGGAGTTTTAGACTAGTCTAGAGCACTATGCAGGAGCTTTTTCTATGAGTGGGTCACTGTTTTGTTTATCTTGTGCATGGGCACAATGAACAATGCTTATGGGTAATGGGTAATATGCAGCATATATAATAATGGCATGGAATAATAAGATGAAAGGCCCTATTTAAACCATCCATAGGCCATGGTCTAAAGCGCATGGCTCAAGTACATTAAGGTCGTGTTTAACTCCATGCGTACATGTGCACATCAGTCTCAATTCGAAGACGTACTTATTGTTTCTGCTGCTATGTGATGCTGCAGGTATATAATAAATTCAAAGGACAGGATTTGAAACACAGCCAGCTGTGTGCGGCAAACAGAACATCAGCAGGCTACTGATGTTCCATCCCAGATAACATTACATTGAGTCACAGCTGAACGACATTATTGTAAGTTTCATACATATATCAAACATATTTCAAACCTGTCTGAGTGACATTAATAACTCGATTCTGATGGACATTTCAATAGTTTGTGTTATATATGTGATACTATAGAGAAGTAAATTAGCAAAATATATAACAGTTGGTTTGTGATGTTGGAGAGCTTCGTGTGTCCTATTGAGGATGAGGAACGTTACTGCTTGTCCCTGTGTGTAACAAGCAGAGTGTACATGCGTTGTGAGTAATGCGCCCTTTACATTTACACAGTACATTTGCTACTAGTATTTTAATGTCATCATCAATATACTGAAAGTTTTGAATACTATTGAGTTTTCTTGCCATTAGTAAGAAGTACAAGGAGTTGACAACTTTAACAGTTGACAACCCATTTGTGATCACCAGGAAGTTGGTTCCATCTGTGTGCGGCATAGTAGCTAAAGGCAGTGTCACCATGTTTTGTTTTGACTGAAGGTACTACCAGTTGAAACAAGTTTTTCTATTACTTGTCTCGACGTGAGATTTCTAATTCTTTCTACTTGTTTGTGAAGATAAAATGCTGATTTATTTCAGAATTGTAAATATGATATCTTTAAAGATGGCATAGTGATTTGATTTTCTCTATTTGCCTCAGGTTTCCTGAATTCTCTTTTCTGACTGACTGAGAGCTGGGTTGTTTCTCCATGGTGCTCTCTGCTTGCCAGAGGTCATTTGTACCTTTTCAGGTTCAATAGCATCAATAACTTTCAGAGCTTTTACAGTCAAAATTATCAAAGAGGGAATCAGCAGAGTCTGATGTTAGGCTTATTGACATAGCTTCCATAAAAAGATTTCACTGCTGTCCCCGACAAGAGATAACAGAAAGCAGCTCAGTGAAGTTATCAACAAATTTTGATGAGGACCTTGGAGGTCTGTAAATTGTTAACAGCAGGATTTTTGGTATGCCTTACAACACAGTGCAAAGATATTCAAAGAAGGCAACATCACTGCTTGATAGCTGCGTGCATTGAAATGAGTCTTTAAATATAGCAGCAACACCACCACCTTTCTTGTCTGAGAAATAACATTAATAAAAGTAGTTTGGAAGGGCTGCCTCAATGAGAATCGGTGCAATGCAACTATTATCTAGCCATGTTTCAGTCAAAAGCATAACTTCCAGATTATAGGTAGTGGTATGATCATCAATTAAAAAGGACGTGTTGGTAAGATTTAAAATATTCAGTCGAGCTACCTTTGTGCTCATTGGGGGACCCTGACTTAACATGGCAAGGATTTGGTAACAAATTAGGCAGATTTTATGACAGAGCAGAGTGCACCATTCTCTTTCTATTACCTATCAAGACAGGAATAGAGAAAACTACTGGCACACTGGGTCCCAGCTTGTCCTGGGAACATTCATGAGTGCTGTCATCCTTGTAGCCTGGAGCCAACCGATATCAGTAAGAGATTACTGTATTTTATGGACAACCAAAAAAATGGGAGAAGGGTGGAGCAGCAAGGGATGCAGGGTTTGGTCCCAGCAGGAACCAGCTCTTTCATTTGGTCAATAAACTCCATGAGTGCAGTGGAGGAGGAGAAGGTGGCTGGAGGGGAGGGAGAACTGAATGGGGTTTAGGCGTGTGAAGAAAGTGAAGTGGAAAGTTGAAGTTGGCATGTGGGGTGGAGACTCACTCTCTTGGTTCTGTACATCCCTCAACTTTCTTCAAACAGGGGCTGAAATGGCTCTCCTTCAAAGTTTCTGGCATGGTGTAATGTCTTGTTTTGATTCCTCTTGTCTCTCTAGGCAGGAGGAGCAGATGGGTGACGCAGGAAGTAAAATAGATTGCAGATGAAGAATTTTACTCCTGAATTGTTGAGGCAAATTTCATCTGCTCTAAGATGACCCAGAAAATCAAAAAAATATAATGCACTGTATGGAGGGTACATGCAGTTAAAAGCCATATGTTCACTGCTTAAGCTCTACTCCTTCTCTGACTGGTGGTGGTGGGTACTGATAATTACATCAGTATTCAAGGACCTGCGTGTATTCAATAAATCAGTAGTCTTGTTTGTGTGCAGTCAGAATATGTGGGATTCTTTCTATTATGTCACTAGATCCTTGGGAAAGCTGCATGTTTAGTGTTCTTATTGCGTATACCTTTTACATCTTTAATAGCAAATGAATCCACAATCAGTTGGAGGCCCAGGCATTAGCTTTCCCTGTAGAATTTTGCTTTCACTCAGTCCTTTCCCTGCTGTGGGAGAATGAGAGGTTATCCAGGTCATCTGACAGAGATCCAGGGTCCTGTAGCAGTGATGCAAATCTGTTTTCTAGTTGCACACTTGTTCATTAGGAACATTTGCTACTAACTCTCCCTTTTGCAGCTGTCCATGGCATCCTACTAAGCACTGAGGTTCATGAGGCACTCTGCCTGGCCCAAGTGATTTATTCTTAGGCTTTGCACCAAGAGAGTTTCAGAGAGGACTACTCTTTGTAGTCCTGTTGGTGTTAGTTAGCCATGTATTAGTATTCTCTTGTTGTCCACTGTTTTGATTCCATGGTAAAGTATCACTCACTCACTCCTACAAAGTCCATGCTGCTTTCACTTATAATCTATGGGTCTTGGTTTCAAGCTCTACAATTTCTTCTGGAGAGGTTAATGAAAGTCCTATGTCCTGTTAGCTAGTTTCAACTAATTCTAGGTTTCCAGTCACTGTAGTTCAGTATAGTGACACAGCAATAGGCTTATTGAAGGTCATGCTTGTAGAATCCCACACTGTTGCTAGCAGGGGTGATAACTGAAACATCTTTCTAAGGCTATGTATGCCAGATATTCCTAAATAGATGTACAGTATAAAGTGCAATACATGCAACACAGGTTATGAGACAGTTTTTTATGTCACCTAAGTCTTGCAGTGTTATAAGCTTTAACTTGGTAAGCCACCATATTCTGCCACTTTGCCTATAGTGAAAATGTGGTGGTTAGTAGCCCTCTGACACAAGTTGGCCTGATTTTGATTTTTATTCATTTGTGGCAGGTTGCTCATTTCTCAACTTGAAGCAATATCATCTTTCAAGGTGTTGCATCAGGTTTATGCAATTCTTTTGACGTTTGTTCTTAAACATAGAGAAATATTAAAAGCAAAACAACGTAATGAACATTCATTGTATGAACTATTTTGAATGGTATGAAATATAATACACCAAGGGAACATTTGTTATATTTTCAGGAAATTATTGAAGTTATTTGAATGAAATAATAACTGAGAGAATGGCCCTCAACACACAGGCTGGCTTAATCACTTATACACACACATTGCAAACCCACTTGCTTACTGCCACACCCACATAAGTCCTCTAAATAATACACAGTGTATTGTTTGTTAATTTCCACTTATGAAAATGATAAAGCATAGAAAGAAAAGATAAAACAAATAACATATGGAGCAGATGAGCTACAAACCTCAAGGGGCTTATGATAACCTTTCACCTAAAACAAAGCTGAGATGAAAGAAAATACCTCAAAAAAAGACAGCAGAAGTAAAAAATAAAGATTCTTGCAGTTCTGAGGGAAGCTTCAAGCTGTTTAATTCATGAGAGACAATGCCTATATTATAAACGTAAGGAATGTAGGTTTGCTAGTAATCTAAATTGCACACTTGTGATTCTCTGTATTTTATGGAGAATTGGTAAAGACTGGTGTGAACATTCTGAAGGTATAGTGTTAACTCAAATTTCATGTTGCTGTTTTGTCAAACTAAGATATTAAATCAAGTCATCAATTATTGATGGTGCCGAACAACACCATCAAAGGAGCACTCCACACCAGAAACACCAAAAATCTATGTTTTAAATATAAAACATTCACCCCCTTTAGGCTTGAATGGTGGCTTTGTAGCTTTTTCCTTCGTGGGCAACGGCAACTGTGGTCAGCTTTGATTCAACAGTTACAATGGATTCTGACTGCGACCCAGTTTCACGGCAAAAGAAAATGTATCAAAAAATGCCATAGAAACTTTCTTTATCTCCACATATGCTCAGTTTGTTTCCAAACAATCATACTTTGCCCAGTATGCTCAGCCTTTGTGCGCCACTAGCCTGTGTTTATGTACTAAACCACATTATCCCTGTAGCCACGCTTACATTGGTGTGGGGTTCTGGGGGGGTCATCTGGTTTACCTGTGTTGTCGGTGACAGAAGTGTTTTTTGCTGCAGGAAGTTTAAATCTTTTTGCAGTGAAACTGGGTCACAGTTGGAATCTATTGTTAATCTATTGTAAATCCAGTTGCCGCCCTCAGTAAAGGAGCAAGCTACAAACTAATCCAAATCACGTATCTTTCAAGCCTAAAGGAATGAGTGTTTGATATTCAAAACTTTGGTTTTCCGTGGAGTACTTCTTTGATGTTGAGGGAGAACCGTGCAGTGTGTCTGTATTTACAGTGTGTTATGTAACCCGATTGGTAGGTGACACGATTCGAACTACATCACTTAGTGTTAACTTTAAATCTGGAGGTGGGAAAGATTAGCAGGCTTAAAGAAAATGCCATTAGCCTTTTTAAATATGAGGTTAATTTAAAGCAAAGCCGCTAACACCTGGCCAATTCCACTGTTTTATCATTTTTCTTTAAGCACAAACCAATCTAAAGGGCATAACATAATATCAGAGTTGTTTAGCTAACATAAAAAAAACATTAGTAACAGTATAGAGTGTATAATTATCCTTTTTACGTGTGTCAGTCATTTTGTATTAGTATTTGTTTGCTGTATTCTTTTTTTTGTTCAGGATAAGAGCTACACCATGTTCCAGCATCAAAGAACCAGTGTTGAGTCCAGCCCTGCTACCTCCACATCTCCCAATCCAACTTTGGATGTGCATCTTGAAGTCCATCCTGAAACTCATCACAAAGACCAAACAACACCACAGGAGCCAGCTACCACCGCTCTGCAGTCTCCTTCCAGTGGGAGAACCGAACCAGCTGGGATTGTGCCCACACGCTGCCTCTCACCCAGTGCGACACCCAGCAGACAGAAACACAATTGTGACTCACATAGATCAGGGATAGTGAACCAGGTTGTGGCTGGGAACAGCAGTGTATCACTTTCTAGAAGACTCCTGCAAGAAGTCAAATTGGATGACTTAACACAGCACAAGGTACGGCTTATCTCAGATTTTAACTCCAGGCTTCATCCAGAGTGCTGTGGCTCTCTATAGGGGTTTTGTGACAAAGAGACAAGCACATAAATGACTATTATTTTGAACCTCATAATTAAGTGAATAGCTGTGGATTGGCCATCACCCCTAATTACTTCCACTGTGAGACGCCCATGTTTAAGGCTACATTATATTTCCACAAAAGACATTGCCAATTTGGATAACCTCTCACTGTGTCAACACTCACAAAGCAAAAATGCTCATTATTTATCACATAGATGTCACACTCATCCACAAAAACATGCTTGGCATCCAAAACCTGCTATATTTGATATGGCAAGTGGAGTTTATCAAATTGTATCATTAATGCTTTTTTATTTTAAGATTTATGTCATCGTTGAGGAAAAAAGCAACCACACTGCTGATTGCTGATATTCTGCTGAAAAAATATAATCTTTAAACTAAAAATATTTAGAAAATTTGGATATTTTAATCAAATGATGTTAAATGAAAGTGGGTGCTCATAGTCCTAAAATCAAGGAGAATTAGCTACAGAGCTTTAAGCTTCATTAAGTGCATGTTTTCATTTCATGGCCTGCGAATTTACTTTATAGTCTTTAGAGTCTAAGCCACTTTCAAGAATCCCTGTAGGCAACTGTTTCTACCAAAAAGCTTTGATAAATCCACAGCACACTACCACGGCACCACCAGACAATGTTATTGAGTGGCTGGTGAAAAAACTGAACATGCACAATAACAGACTCGACCAAAGATCCAGATATTTTTGTCAGGAGATCACAATAAAAGAGAAAGTGAATATTTTCATGTTTTTCATCCCTCAAAATTGATCAATGCAGCTTGGTTAAATAAACATTAGTTTGATTAAATTCCATTGGAAAGCGTTTGTTTACAGGGACTGTTATTGCAGTCTTCAGTAGATGGGCTTGGCTCAGTTCTTATAATTTACAGTTACAATTACATTCATCTTCGGTTGGGATGTGCAGAGTGAGTTTTGGAGGCCTCGTGGCAAATGGACAGCTTATTAAAAGCTCTGTAGTGCTGTCTCTTTTTGCCCATAATGTGTGGTCACTGCTCATTTGGACAACTAAGGAGGAGTTGTGAAAAGGTTTGTAATGCCGTGCTGAGATGGATCAGACTACGGTCTGTTACAGATTGTCGTAGGCCCCGGCTCCAGTTGAAAAGATCCAGGATCAGAGGATAGTCAACTGGAGAGATCACAAGGCCTGAAGGGAGATCTGTCACTTGGCTGTTACTTTCTGCATTTACACAACTCACTGCTGAGACATATCCCAGCATCCTTCATCAGTGCAGCTCCTGACTGTCAATTTGTGCCAACTCCAGCAGGCAGCATGCAGTGAAGGCTTTGACTGAAAGGTTGTCAGAGAAATATGACAAGGAGTTTGTTTCCCTCCCTGCAGCCCTAGTTTATTGACTGCCATGGATTCAACACCAGGGCAGCACCAGGCTTCCTTGCATTTTGTCACAAATCAAGTTAGCATAGTACTCTATAGATCCACTGTTAAAAGACATTTCCTCAGAGGGTCAAACCAATGAATAATGTGCAGCAGTGCCTTAAGGTCTGTCTGGAACTACAGTCTGCTGTTTTAAGATTGACACTGTTTTGTTGATTGCACAAAACATTGTAACAACTTTTGAGATTAAGTGTGTACGTGTGTATGTGTGACTGTGACTGAGTGAAAGGCACTGCCATTGGGATTGATTCCAAATATGTATTTTCTGTTTCATGGGTGATTGTTTTGAAGGAAGAAGACAATCCACTGAAGCCTGTTGAATCCCGCAGTTACAGTTTACACCTGCTTAGCAGTCTACAAATGTGTGGAGATGATGATGAGGAGCTTCGAATGCTGGCAAGTCTAAAAAGGGAGCAGGAGGAAGATGAATGTAGAGCCTCGGGCCTCAGTGCATCTCAGATCCACCAGTGTAACGTGAGCGTCAGCATGAGCAGTGACGACACCTCGACCTGGACCCACATCTCTATGGTCGGTACTATCATACACTGCTGCTCTTGATCTTTTTCTTGTTGATTCTCTGCTAACAAGCGACGCTCACGTGCAGCTCATCTACTATTTACAATCGTTAGCAGGTTGTCCCTCTTTCTATCTCCCGTCTGGAATAATTTTTTCGACCCTGGTTGATCCTTACCCTTGCTCATTTCCATTTAAAGCCTCCAACTTATGTCCCCATAAAGTGCTAATGCATCTCTTTCTCCAGCGTGTTTTCTGCATTACAAAAGATTATGGAGATAGAAACACATTAATTGGCCTCTTATAGCTTTTAAAGGTACACTGGCATAGTTCCCCCAGTGAATAAAAATTATTTAGGTCATTTGAAATTGTCCCCAGAAGTCTTTTTAGAATTCAAAGATGGTATAGTTTGCTCTTGGCTATTGAAGGTCATTTAGATCTGTGAGCCATTAGCATAAGCCCCTATGCCCTGCCTGGCCCTACTGGGTCCACTGTAAGATCCCCAGTGGATACAATAATTACAGATACTCAAGTTATGGTCCTGTTACCTTTTCCGTACATGCAGGTATCCATTTATATACTGAGATTCAAGCAGAACAAAATGAATAGTGATATTACCGCAGGGATTATCATTTCCCGGTTTCCTTTTTTGAGGACACAGTGATGTGGTCACCAATAAAAAACATGTATCAGACTGTGCAGTAGGTACAGTTTTCCACGGGGACAGGATGAGATTTACATCTGACTTCATCAAACCCTGAAGTGATGTTTCAAGAATCAGCTGCAGTGCTTTACAATTCTAAATACATATGGCAACAGCACCACCATCAGCATATTAAGAAAATGCTTGACAATAAAGAGAGGGGGAGAGACATAAAAAAAAAAAGACACGAGACATAAAAGACATTTTTCTATCTAATACAAATCTAGTTTTGGTGACATTGCAACAAATAAAACTTAATAAAAGGAACTAAATGTCTGAAAGATAAAAACAAGAGAGGTGTTTGGGACCTAGGAAGGATAAAGTCACAGTTCGGGGGAAGGGATCCTCCACAACAACTGACAAGCCATTTCTTGTCCCTGGATGCTGTTATTACAGTGCTTCTGTCTCTGCTGCTAAAGCTGCTGCACCAACCCTGGTGTAACTTAACCCTCAGGCGATTGTATGCTATGTTCTGGCTACTTGGTTGAACACAAAATAATCACCTTGTAGACTGTATGATTGTGTGACACACCTCAATATGTAGTTCTGTTGGACTATGATGGCTGATTACAGCCACAGAGGACAGACTGAAGTAAGAAGACACTCAAATAGTAAAACACAGACCAATGTCTTTTTGTTTAGTATAGAAACTCTCCAGCCCTCTTTGCTTGGCTGTTTTCCTCCTTTATAGTGGATTGATGTCATTTACAATGATGATGAATTCAGTGGTGTTGAATAGTTAGACATAAAGGTGAGCTATCAAATGCGATGGATTGAAACCTTAATGAAAAGATTCAACCACATCACTTTCATTAAAAAAGAACATGGTTTTCAACATTAACTACTGATGACAGCAGTGTGAAGGACTTAATTCAATGTCAAAATGTTTTACTATATTTAGTAAAATAATGTACGATTGACACCTTAAAAATTATAGTAGATAATGATCCGATTTATCTTTCCATATAAAGGTGATAAAAAATTCTACAAGTCAGTGTTTGTGCCAGAAGCATATCTTTCTGTTTCAAACAGCAAGAGCAAGTAGGGGGAAAACCAGGGATTTTGATCTGTCTCTTGATTCTAAATGTTTTGTACGGAGCATGATTGGCAGCAGTAAGTATTTGAAAACTATGTATCTGGTACTCACCCTTGAGGAGTTTTTCAAAGTTAGGTAGTATTTCCACTACCATATATATTCAGAGCAACGTGGTCAGTGTTCTGAAGAAAAGTTATGGTATCATTTATCAATACATTACCTTCGGCTTTACTTTTCCTGTCACATCTAAACGAGTTATATCAATCAACACTTACATCTTCATGTGAACACTGGTATTGAGCCAGGTAGCTGTGAGGATAAAAAGGTCTAGTGTAGTTCTACTTCATAAGATAAGTACAATTTTTGAAGCAAGCTCCTTACATTTAGGAGTCAAGGCTGGATCCAAGATATTTCTTATAATAATACTACATAATACAAAAATATTAGATGTGTTAGGTTAATATTAGGAGAAAGAGTAATGGTAGGTCTGAAATGTATTAATGTAAAACTGCTTGGCCTGCAATTATGCAAGGGCAGTTGTACAGTGGGGGATAAACAGTAGGAATAGCATACACAGAATAAAAAGCAGGAAAAAAAAACACTGGAGTGGAGCCGATCCATCAGCCATCACATTGAAAGTGCCTTGATAAACAAGGCAGTAAGATGGGTGTTAAAACGAAATTTTCTGGCACTAGAACTGTGTTGTTGAACATTGCCAAACAGGTCTGTGCAGCCCAGACATGCTGTGCATCAGTTTTACAACCAGATGTTTTAAACTGAAGGTTTCTTTTAAGTTTTATGTCTCCATAACAGAAAGCAGGCAAAGGGCCAGAAATAAAGTCTACGAAAACGTTGATCAGAGACAATAGAGCTCTTTTAGATTGTCTGATTACTGTAGCGTCATTTGACCCAGCATGATGGATAACAGATGATGCACAGGGGTGGATATGTAGAAGGGGAGGGATAGTGGAGCACCAGAACAGCTAAATGCTTGAGCATCAGTCATGAGACCGGTCAAACAATGGAGATCCCGGCCAAAGAAGTGGGACTGGGTTGAGGACCTTAGCCATACCTGGTGTGTAGTGACCTCTTAGCCAATGCCTACCCTGGTTTTTTTCTGGGAAGCTGTACAGCAGTTAATGCTTCAGGCAAGTCATCACACAGACTCTGCAGCTACAGGCAGCCAATACTGCTGTGTTCACAGTCACATTTCTAATTCTTTTAGCGTTCCCTTTGATTCTGTAGCTCATGTAAGTTTAAATGACCATTTGAGGCACCGGGTTTAATATTAAAGATAGAGTACAGAAGTGGTTCAGCTTCTAACTCCCCGAAAGAATTTCCTCCATCACCCTAAAGGTACCTCATCATCATCAGTACATATTACCTGCACAATTCTACAGGGTACAATTTTAGGTCCTGTGTTATTTTTGGAAGAGGATTACACAAAGAAGGAACTGGAACACACAGATAGCTAAAATTGACTTAAGCAATGCAAGGACTACAGCTTCAACAAAACTGCTTCTTCATCAACGTCATGTAATGTAATAGCCTTTAAGCAGGCACTAGACTTAAATAGCCTCCTGAGGCTATAATATGGTCTTTAGCTTTGACAAGATAGAGGGGGTAATGCACTTGTGTTTCTTACTACTGAATATTACAGTACATTGAAAGTGACACCATTCTTATCTTCTACCACTTATACCCACAGCTCACAAAGAAAGAAGCTGTTTTTAAAAGGCCCCAATCAAAAATACAAGCCAGCTCCAATCCTTTGTTAGTACATCTACATTTCTGAACAGATTATGAGATTTTACTCATCCATTGATTTTAAATTTGTTCACCCTTCATTGTTCATCCTCGGTTTCTGGATCTTGCTACATTCTACATATTTCCTGTGGGTTTTTCTCTCGTTGTTTGCCAGAAATGATCTTTCATACTTTACTTGTTCGAAATTTAGCACAGCACACAACATAGAAGGAGTACTTCCACTGTAAGAATCTTTAAGATTAATTTGTGGTCGTGCTAAGGTTTTTCTTAGGCGTGATCCGGCAATGTTGTTGACGTGTGCCTGTAGTTTTCAGTGAGGCATTGTATCTGATATTGTGGCAACTGTGGCGATGTTCTGGACAATGGTCTCTCCCTGAAAGACATGTTGCTCCTCACCCTGCATTTAAATCCGAGTCATGATGGAGAAAGACAGACATTATTAAGTAGAATGATGACATAGTTGACTTTTCTGGCTAAGCTGCTATTATTTATGAATAAGCACAGAAAAAAATATAGTTCTTAGCATAGAAATAAATATGTCTATGCTTATCCATAGAAATATATCTCTGTGCTTTTTGATTGTACATTTTCATGTCTCTGTGTCTCAGTCTGAATGATGTGACCTGTGAACAGTGACAAAATGGCTGGTGACAGTTTATCTGTCAAGAAGCACATCATTTCTGTTGAGAGACAGTTTCTAAAGCAATCGAGCTAATAATGTAGTCTGATGATAGACGTGATGGCTGTCATTACGGGCGTATACTGAATGAAATTGGTCTCTCAGACCATAAAAAAACATTTTCAATCTTGAGGTGCTGTGAGTGGTTGTATATTCTATTTATGCCCTAAGAAATCAATTAGTGAACACAATGTAATTTAACACAATGTTTTACTTTTTCCTCATATTACCGATCCAGCCAGCTAATCAGGGTCACCACTATCAGAAGGAAATGAACCCCCTCCTTCAATCAAACCCCAGGTAAGCAAGCACCTTTCGCACACATTTGTAGCAAGAATACTTTGCTGAGCTCCAAATATTTACATTTATTATACAATCTATGCCACAAGACAAGGTCAACATATCTTAAGAATAGAAACAAAAGTCACTGTTATGTGTTTTGCACATTCTTATATATGAAGGCCAGGCCGTGAATTGGGTTTTTTCTTTAAAAAGACCTGACATGATGCCTCCAAACACCTAACATCTTTGGGTACTGGGTTGTTATTGATCAGGTCTTGGCAATGGAAGTGATAATAGTTGAGAAAAATGCAACACACATTGATGTATTTTATGTATTTCCTTCCTAAATGGCCTTATGTAGCCTGTATTTCTGTTTGGCTGCATGTACATGAAACTGATAGTAACAGCAAAATGAAAAGTTAAATGTAATTTCTCAGATAGATATGCTGACTGGAGCTTATCTCTCTCATTGATGAGTATAGATAAATTGAGTGTGCCAGGTACCATATTTTTCTTCTCCTTTGACTGCTGTTGTCATTTTCACAATTAACTTTTTATGGCACTTTATATACTTCATAATGTTAGGCATAACGTTTTTGGTTCAAGTCCTTATAAATGAAGAGCGTGGGTTAGACTGTTTAGCACTGACTTTCAGCAGCCATGCATGGAGAAATCCATCATTGATGAAGCAGAGGCCGACTGATGCATGGTGAGAGCTTCAATAGTTCATAATGCAAAGCAACCACAAGACATGTTTCACCTTGTTTTACCTGCCTACAGGTCGAAACCAGAGTAGGTTAAAGAAAGACAACACATTGATGAATGGGCTTACATTACTGGAGGAGGCAAAAGAGCTTAAAAATGCTGCAGTATTTTAAATATTTGGGAAAGTGTGTCCAATATCAACTTCAGGCATATACAAAGCTAAGAACACATACAGTATAACATAACTCAGAAAACCACTGAATGAACAAGAGGTTGACAAAGTGAAATGAGGAGTTGGTACACGTACATGTAGCACTGATAGAGTGTCTGAGAGTGGAATTTCTTTAAAGGAAGTCAAATGGGCTTTGTAGTTTTCAAGGCAAGATAAAATATAATGATGTACAG